AGGCCTGTTGTTTCTACGAGGCGTTCTAAACATTTTTCTGCTGTTTTAGTGATTTTAGGGAAACTGAAAGCAAGGATCCTCCCTCTAAATATAGACATATTGCTAATAAACCCTTTAATAAAAGGCATTGTTGACTGGAACTGTGTTTGATTGTTTATCTTTACATGACTACAGCTCATCACCATTGCAAACCGTTTCAACATTGGTCTGTTTTCCTCCCATCCCAAGACCACGCCCACCCACCCCCGATTGGCTGCTTTATCCTGAGAAGCTCCGATAACCATGAAAAGTACAACTGCTGCTCCTCCGGCGTCGACAGGAGAGGGATGGTTCTGTAATCATTTTCCCTTTTGTGACATCACAAATGGGGACTTTTAAAAACTGCTCATTTTAGGCACCTAATTCCTAAAACCAAACACTGACAGAAAACAGATGGACGGGCTTTATTTGTGTTTGGAAGCATTAGAGGAGTCAAAAAGTCAGAATGTGTCCGCTTTAAGAGCTGCAAAGCTCGTGATCCACCCAACCTGATGCAGATGCCCACAGGCTGGGACATTCTTGTTTAGGTTGCTGATGTATTCATCACTCTGTCTTCAGTAAGCTGTTATCACATTTGAAAATTATTCAACTGATCAATATTCCTGGTGAAAATCCTAATTCACAGAGATTAAAGGTGCAAAACACTGTTTTAGTTGTTGTACTTTGTGGTCAAGGGTAGTTTTATGTGTAGAAACACAAGTCTGTGCAAAAATATGATGAAATAAAAAGAAATGATGTTCAAATGTATGTGATGCATCAAAATGTGATGAAGTATTATGATTTTATTTTTTTATTTATTTTTTGGTAATTTATTCATTTTGGCTCCAAACTTTTGGGTAGTTCTGCATTCTCAGTCAGGCTTTAACCAAGAACAGCTGATGTTTGAATTTTAGCTTTTATTTTGTAAGGTGTGTGTGTGTGTGTGTGTGTGTGTGTGTGTGTGTGTGTGTGTGTGTGTGTGTGTGTGTGTGTGTGTGTGTGTGTTGGCAGGAAGCCAGCTTAAAACATCCAGACTACAGTTGGGTCTCCCTTCCTCTCTAATTAAAATTTCACTCACTTGCTGGTCTCCCACTGGAGTAAATCGTTTGTATCGGGACACAAAGGTCCGATTGTTCTGGTTCTGATGAGTTTATGAATGAACACAAAAGGGTGATGGCCACTTGAAGTAAAAATAAAACAAAAGTGTGTCGTTTTACTATAGCTGTGAGTTTTGTGACAGGAAGCAGAAGGCTGAGAAAATGAGACAGAAATAAAAACGTCCTGAATGGTTCTGGATCTTCTCGACTTTATTCACCAGAAGAAGAAAGTTTTAGTTCTTCTTCTTTCCCTCCTATCCTCCATCCCTCCATCTTTCCAGGAACCCCCCTGTCTGGGTCAGTGGGTTGGCTCTCAGAGGAGTGGATGGGTTCAGGGGTGTGTCGCGTTCACGCTGGTCTTTGATCACTACAGGGGTCATGACCTATTTCATTCCACCTGATCAGCCTGGTTCTGACCCGGTGACCTGGCCCCGTGCAGAGAAACATCTTCAGACTTAGTGGAGGAACTCAGAGTTTCCATAAATTCCCCTTTTCTCATCTTTGCTCTTCTTTGTTTTCCTGTTGAGATCAAAGTGAGCTGCAGAACTTCCAGTTTGCTCGTGTCATCTCAGCTGGTGGCGCCGTGTCGTCCTCAGAAACGAGTCTAAATGGTAGAAGACTCCAAATATTCCTCCTGGTATTTAATGTTTAACCAGATTCCAAACAAATATCATCAAAACCAAACACACAATGTAATGAAAACGCATTTTATTTATAACTAGATATAAAAACAGTATTTTATGCACAATATTGTTGAGAAGAACTCTAAAATCTCCTGATCAGGTGTTTCTAACACACTAATGCTGCCACCTGCTGGTCGTTCAATCAATGTTTCAGGTGATGAAAACGATCATTTTAGGCAACAGTCTCCAACTGTGGTCCTCCAGGGCTACCGTCCAACAAGTTTCGAGGCTTTCCTGCAGCAGCACACCTGCTTTTCATCAACAGGTGGTTAACAGGTGTCTGTAGAGCTTGATGAGCTGCTACACAGGTGACTGAATCAGGTGTGTTCGAGCAGGTAAACAACTAAAACGTGTTCAGCAGCTCATCGGGTGGCCGATTAAAACCAGGTGTGTTGGAGCTGCTTCAGCACACCTGTTGTACTGTACCTGAATAGTGCTCTTGAGTGAGACTTTAGTGTGGAAACATGTGATTGGCACTAATATTTAGAGGTTCCTCCTCTCTAGCGCGCTGAGATTAGTCAGTTAAATGTCTCAAACAGAAATGTCTCTGTCCTTTATCCTGGTACGGTCTCATTTCTGAGCTGAATCTTTCTGGATGTTTAAAGTCACATTTAGGATGAACAAAAGGAAAAACTCAAGTCGCGTTGAGGCAGATTGACCAGCAGAGGGCGTCAGAGAGAATCTAAGATTTAAACAGCTGAAAAATACTAAATCTGCGTTTTTAAATCATCGTTTCTATATGTTTAGTTCTGTTACCAGATAAACAGGATTTCATATTTAGATGCTGATGAATAATTTAATAAACAGAACCAGGACTGGATCCATAATTAAAGACCAGCAGCTGTTTTCTTCTCTGGTCCATTTAAGCTGCTCCTGCACCAGTCCACCAAAGCTGATTTCACTTAATGTGACCCCCACCACCCCTGTGAACCCCCTGGGAGCCATCTAGGCCCCAGACTCCATTCAGGGTCCACCCCTCCCCCCAAACCGAGGCTTTCAGCTTCTGCCAGAAGCCTTCTTCACACTGAAGCTGCATGAGCAGCAGACCAGTGCTTAAGAGATAAAACAATCATGAAAATACTTAATTTAATCCAATCTCATTTGTTTCATGAGCTCTTTTCCGTCAGAAGTTATTCTTTAATCATGTTTTATTTCTGGAGAACATAGATAACCAACAGCTGGTCCAGATCAGAACAACTTATCAAACCCACCCAACGCTTTGAGATCCACAAAAAACATCATATTCCTGTTCATTTTGGACAATAAAGGGTTAAATAATATGCATGTTTACAAATGAGTCATACTTAGTTTAAAATGGTGTTTTTGTGTCTCTGGTGAAAACAACAAATAGTAAAATACTTTGAAAAATAACAGATAGAAATAGATAATGTAGATAAAAAATAAAATAATAGTGAATGAATAATTATGTCATATAATAACGTATTTAATGCAACAATTTCCATAGAATTTTTTTCTTTTATCAGATTTTCTTGGTGAAGTTTGGTTCATGAGCTGCTAGTTTAAAGGTTGATGAGATCAAAGCAGAATTCTCCATATTTCACTCAAATATCTTTATTTTGACATTTGATTCTTAAGTTATGCCATAATTTTGATAATATTAAAAAAATCATTTCCCCCATTCTCTTTTCATCCTGATCCAAACTGCTGCTCGTCCCAGAGGGATAAATAAACCCGTCTGTTTGTGTTTAAATGTCTTGTTTGTTCCGGCGGCAGAGGTAACAGAGCTGAACGCTCAAACATTTGCTGTAAACCAGAGAGGAAATCAGATGCAACAGAATTAATTCAGCGTTTTAAAGTCCAGCTGTCTGCTGAGCAGGTGCCCCCCCCCCCCCCCCCCCCCCATCATGTCAGTTACAGAACCACGCAGTGGGCGTGGCCTTCACTCTGAATTATTATGTAACTCAGCAGAAGTAGGTTGATGGAGAGAAAATTCCCTCTTCCTGCTCTTCTGTCCCACATTTTCCTGGTTTTGGGCTTCCAGCCTCCCTCCGATTCCCGTCGGTTCTTTTGTTGTTTAATTCTTTTATCCTGATGCAAGAAGCAGGCTTTACTCACCAGTCTGGGACCCCTCTGCACCATTAAACCCCAAAAGAAACAGTTAAAAATGCATCTGACTAAATCCTTTTATCCTTAAAACATGAGTTTAAAACCCTTTTAGGAGCCCTTGGTTAAGAAAACATGAGCAGAAAATAAAGAAAAAGCTTCAGTCGACATTTAAACTTCTTTTAATCATTTTACAGATTATAATCAGTTTGTTTAACTTTGCTGTACCATTTAGTAAAGATGTGGAGTGTTTTTGTTTTTTCTTTTAAAACAAAACAGTTTTTGTTCTGAAAGTGAAGATTTAAAATCCACGTGCAAAAAGATGCAGAAAACCGTTGTGTTGAAATGTTGATTTTAAACAAGAAAAGAGAGGTTCGTTTTTAAGATGCAGGTCTAAAATGTGTTTTTGTGAATAAAAACATATTTTTACATCATCATGAATTATCTTGTCTTATTTCCAGACTAATTATCTATAATTTCCTTCTTCAGAGAAAGGCTCGTGCCACGAACTACACCAGACTGTGTTTCATTTACAACAAGCAGGTTGTGCAGATTTTATGTCATTTACTGCTTTTCAAATATATAAAATAAAAAATGGACTAAATTGTGCATAGACGTTATGAGGCCTACTTTGTATTTCCATGCTGAGAATAAAGACTAAAAGTCAAACACGTTCTTGTTGCAGAAGAAGGGTTAGAGCTGCTGAATCCTGATCCTGAACTTTGTTGGTTTTTAGGCTTTAAGAGTCTAATAATTCATTTCAGATGGAGCACCAAGCTGGAATAAAAGATACAAAACCCTAAATTAAAAAATCTTTTGCCCCTAAATTATTTCTCCAGTTTAGCTAAAAGTTGTGAAAAGCTGCAGCAGGCATAACAACTGGGTCAGAGAGGGGTGGGACCGGGACTTTAGCCTCAGGCCTCCTAAAACCAGACACCCCACCACCACACGCACTCTTCAGGTACCCCACCCCCCCTCTGATTTCACGCCCCCACTCCTCCATCTTCCTTTCACCACTCTGCCTCTCCATCCTTCTGTCACCCTCTCCTCCACTTGCATCCCTCTGTTCCTTTACCCCCCACCCCTCTCCGGTGGGTGCCCATCCCTCCCAGCGCAGCAGAGACTTTCTGGATGTCAGTCAGCGGGCAGACGGCAGCGGGAGGAGGAGCGGATTCGGTAATCCCCCCTCATCACCCCACCCCTCTCCAAAACTCAGAACCAGGAGGCAGGAGGGGAACGTAACCTCACGGGGACACATGTGCTGCTGGACCCCCCCTCCCCACATTCTGAGTTTAGCGATCCAGATTCAGCCCAGACCCTAGCGGATCGGTGAGAACAAAAATAGGTACAATTTGGACGCAGAGACGTTTTTCCGGTAACGGAGCCAAAGGCAGGTCGGCGGATGGAGATGCGTTTTGAAGGCGGAGGCTTAGTGGCGTTGATGTAGCAGGAGGCTGCAGGCTCGTGCCGCATTGCCTGACCACCGCCGAGGAGACGGTGATGCTTCCGTCGTCATTGTGTCACAGAACGAGAGGAGAGGCTTTGACGTGATGGGGGCGCGCGGCTGCCTGTCGGGACTCCCGGATCAGCAGGTTGGACGCGCAGCCTGAAGCCTGGAAGACTCCACACGTCCAATCCGCGCAGAAACGTTTGGATCGAGTTGGATTTTGAAGGCGAAACGGAAACGAGTCGGTGCGTAAACGTGGATGGTCGGTTTGGTGAAGATGCAGGAGTGGATGATCCCACCAGCAGCGTCGGAACCAGTTCAGGGTGGATTAGAGAGCAGCAGGCCTCTGTCTGAAGTCAGCCACTGATCAGTGAACCGAACCCAGCGCCTCCTGCCCTGTTGCTGCGGAGGGACGAGTTTATTCTAGTGCAGGCTGCTGTGGTGTGGACCCCCCGCGGAGGGACAGCTGTTGCAGAGGATGACTCACTTACAGGCTGGCCTCTCTCCAGAGACCCTGGAGAAGGCCAAGGTGGAGCTGAAGGAAAACTCTGAGACTTTGCACCAGGACATCCAGGAGGTACGGGACATGATCATCACCCGTCCGGACATTGGGTTCCTCAGGACAGATGATGCTTTCATCCTCAGGTTCCTCAGGGCCCGGAAGTTCAACCACTTCGAGGCATTCCGGCTGCTGGCTCAGTATTTTGAGTACAGGCAGCAGAACCTGGACATGTTCAAGAACTTGAAAGCCACCGATCCGGGCATCAAACAGGCCCTGAAGGACGGGTTCCCTGGGGTTCTGTCCAACCTGGACAGATACGGGAGGAAAATTCTGGTTCTGTTTGCAGCCAACTGGGACCAAAGCAGGTAATGAAAGATGCTTTATGTGGTTTAACCGGTCTCATTAGAATAAACACAAATAAACAAATGTTTCTGTTTGTGGAGCTGTCCATTCAGCACCACTCGGGAAGCAGGAAGCTCTCAGTGGAACAAGCTCCTTTATCAGCTTCTGTGGGTAAAACTAATGACTCCAGTCACTCTCTGCCACAGTTAAGAGAGTTTTGTATTAATCTAAAGAACCACAGCTGATAAAAGAAGCACCTACTGGTTAATTTCCTGTTTATAAAACTATCTATTAGCAAACTTGAAATCTGATCATAAAATTGTCCTTAAATGTGCTGTAAAGTTGTTCCTACTGACCCAGAATAAATGAAAAGGATAAATCTGCGGCTAAAATATTCATTTTAGTCAAACTTTGGTTATTTTAGTCCACACTGAAGAACACCAAACCTCCAGGTCAATGCAGGTGCTCCAGTGAAGACGCAAATTATGGAAGGAAAGATTTGTTCATGACAGAAATGTCCAGAACTACCCCTTATGACCTCTGTTGACCCCATGATCCCATTCCTCCACCCATCCTGGTCCCGGGGAGTCGGGGAGACTTTTATCTTTCCACAGAGGATCTCTGATCCGACAGACTCATCGTAGACCTTCCACCATCTCTGCCAGCACTTATTTACTGTTTGGACTTTTCTTTTCTGGTGATTAATTCCTAAAACTTTGCTGTAGCTGCAGACAGCGTGTTTAAAGATAATGTGAGAAAGAATCCAGATGCCTGTAAAACAAGCTCCTCTCAGAACAGTCGAGTGTCTAACTGCCGTTTGGCTGCAGGACAGAAGTCTCGTTATCCTCTCTCACCGAGCGTCGCACACGTTAATCACACGCTTTGTGCTCCTCTCAATCCCATAAATCACCTGCAGACCCTTCACAAGGATGAGAACCGCTGGTTTCACACACCACTGATGGTGGGAATCCAACCTTCAACCTTCATTGGTGGTTATAGTGAACAAATAAAAGGTTCAAGTCTGAAATAAAGTCATGACATTTACTTTCCACAGGATTACTTTAGATTTAGTTCCTATTTCTAACATAAAAACTACGTCCAACCTGGACTGAACCTGCATCCTTGGCTGTCGTTTTATTTACATCTTTGTGTTTTCTCTGCATGAACGCACAGACCGTGCTGTGGTCGGTCAGGATTAGTATCTGGGCTGAGGTTAAAGGCAGAATTCAGGCCACAACCTGATTTAGTTTGGCTTTTATCAAGGATCAGACCAGTTTGTTTGGTCTATGATCCCTCAGTGTTTCCAGCCTGGCCTGCCAGACTCCTCCGTTTAATTCTGCACAGAGAACGGGTCTGGGAAGTCTCCTCATCTAATAACCCCACCCCGTGAGAATCCTAACCGAGCCAATCAGCGCTGAGCAGCGTACGTCACACACCACAACGCAGAGTTTGTCATAAACATGGCGACTGAAGCGGAGTTCGCCGCTGCTCTTTCCTCTGTTCTAAATGACTGGAATGTCTTTAAAACAACAAGTAGAAGCGCTAAAAGCCTTTCTTCTAAAAGAATAAATGATGTTTGCGCCGTCGCCGGACGTCTTTTTTTTTTTTTTTTTTTTTGCTACAGTTAAAAAACTACAGCGGTACAGACGGCATTTCCGTCTTTTTCTGACTGGTTATTTTTGAGCTGCCTAGCCCCGCCCCTCATGTGCCGCTCTGCCTGTGAGTAACCAGACGCGTTCTCTGTGCAGAACTAAACAGGACGAGTCTGGCAGGCCAGGCTACCGTGATTCCAGGTCTGATCGCAGATTTATGGACTTACTGATTAAAACTTACAGGAAGAAACACTTTGCTCCTTTAATTTAGGACATTTAGCTTGTTTCATTTAAGTTTTCCTTAAAATAAGATGTTCATTTTAATTTTGGGTCAGTTTTGCTCAGATTTATGATTTAAACGTGTCTGTTTAAAGTTTTTAGTGGAGAAAACTAAAGATTTGTTCTTCTTTAAGAAAAAAGTCTCCCAAATGGACGAAGAAAAGAAGGTGAAGACAAATTTACATGAAACCTAATGAGCAGAAAGGTTGAAGACGAGGAATCAGAGGCAATCACCAGCAGCAGGATCCATGTGGCCATCGCTAGAAACAATTAGAGCTCAAAGAGCTGCGTGATTTAAGACCAAGTTAAACTGAACAGGAAGTCGTTGGCGGATCTGACTAACAGACTTCACAGATGCTTCATTTGTGATTAATCACAAGGATGCAGCTTTTAAAAACTGTTAAAGAGGAGTTGAGAAGTTCTGATTCGTTAATTTATGTCAAGTCAAACATCAAAAATGTCAAAAATTTAGCAGAATTTTTCTATTTTTTCTATTTGAGGCTCTTTGACAGATCTAAACCCCGCCCCCCCTCCCCCCCTCAGGTACACGTTTGTGGACATCCTCAGAGCAATCCTTCTGTCGCTGGAAACTATGATTGAAGATCCCGAGTTGCAGGTTAACGGATTCATCCTCATCATCGACTGGAGCAACTTCACCTTCAAGCAGGCGTCCAAACTGACTCCCAGCATGCTGCGGCTGGCCATCGAGGGGCTGCAGGTAAGGAGCCACCGCCGCAAAGCTCTGCTGGGGTTGGTTTTCATCCAAAGATGTTCGTTTCACAAATCTCTGTTTAACTGTAGCTGTGTTCCATCTGAGATTTCACTTAGGAGCACTTAGGAGATGACTGTCCTGCAGGCGTTAGATGTTTCTCTGCTCCAGCAAACCCGATGGGTGATTACCAGGTTTCTGCAGAAGTTGGTGAGAAGCTGAGTGGCGATTAAACCACTGAATCAGGCGCTTTTGGTTCAGGAATCATTTGTATTCATGCAAAATTGGTAAATTCACTCAGGAAAACTGCTTCTTAGGCTCCTCCTGAAAGAAAAGACACGTTTGATCTTCTGGATGTGTCTGGATAGACAAATGCAAACATGTAAACGCCCTAAAACCAAGTATTATTTAACATTTGGGAAAAGGATTTCAGAATATCGGTAATAATGAAACTCACACATGAGGAATTGCAGGTACTTCATTTATTGATCCTCATAAACAACATTGATTGCTGAAGTCTGGTGTGAACTGACATTCCAAAATAAAAGCTCCTTTTCAGTGGTAATCCATATAAAGAAGTCAGTGTCCATAAATAAAGCATTATGAGTTAAAGCTGTTGATGACGTTTTGATCTCAGTGATTCATAATCTGGGTCAGGAGCAGAAAAGTTTAGAAACCGCCGCTCTAAGGAGTTCTATTAAATGTTCGAATCAAGAATAAATCCCAATGAATAAGATCTTCAGGGCTGTTTTGTTTCCAGGAGGAGTTCTCGCGCTGCTGAGTAGAGATGCTTTCATCTATTAGCTGATCTCACAAACCAGCAGAGTGGTTGGATGGGTGCCAACATGCACTGGGATGCAGAAAAACTTTAGGAACAAAATTATCTGTGAGCAAAAAGCCACAAATGGATTCATCTGGTTTTGTGTGACTAAATAAAAGCAACAAAGCAGAACCTCCGGCTCACAGTCACCATCTTTCATTACCATCAGCAGTGAAAAGGACATCTTTATGCCGCCGCTGGACCATTTTCCTTCAGGGAAGGTAAAGTCTCGAACATAAAATTGGATCTACTGCAGGTAATTTTCAGTTAGGTTTTATTTGCTCCATCCAGGAACCCGAGGCGCTTTATAGTGAGATTGATTTAGAAACTGGAAGGCGTTGGGCTTGTGTCCTGCTGCAGGTCTGCTCTGGCAGCTTGGGTTTGGAGTTTTATTCTGAAGGAAGAGACGAGTCACGACAGACAGAAGCTGCATCCTCAGCAGGACGAAGACATGCCGTCACCAGCAGAGGATCTGGGGCTGCGGGATTAGGGAGAGAATCCTAATCACAGTTATCGTGGCCAAATTAAAAACACAAATAGTCATGGAGCGTGGGCGAAATCACCATAGAAATGTTGCAATGTGGCTCGCCAAAATAAAAGCTTCATGTAACACACTAGATTTTTGTTAATAATCTTTGTTTACTTCAAAAGGGCGTTACTCTAGTATAAATGTTCATTTCAACTGGAAAACCACCGAACGTTATGCTTCAGTCACTAACAGACTAATGAAAACACAACCAGAGTTCACATTGTAAGAGGACTACAGCGACTGAGTAAACATTAGCTGGTTTACTTTTATCCTTCTGAAATCAATATAGAGTACTTTATAATTATTTAGAGTTAATTTAAACACAAATAAATACATTTAATTACTACCTGATGAAAACATTTACAGAAAGCGCTGCAATAAAACCAAGAAGGGCTGCTACGGAAGCCTTCCAAACAGGAAGTTGTGTGAATAAAAACACATTTTCCAGGCATGTTGAGGCTTGGAAACACAACTGCATAAAAATATTACTAAAGGACACCACCAAGTGTGTGTGTGTGTGTGTGTGTGTGTGTGTGTGTGTGTGTGTGTGTGTGTGTGTGTGTGTGTGTGCGTGCGTGTGTGTGTGTGCGTGCGTGCGTGTGTGTGTGTGTGTGTGTGCGTGCGTGCATGCGTGCGTGTGTGTGTGTGTGTGTGTTTAAGATTGATGAATAGAGAGGTTTGTTGGCACATATCATACATCATTGTTTTGCCCTCATTCTGCTATTTTTACTAACATTTGGAGTCTAATGAGTGTACGAAGGATGTCGATTACATTGATTGAATGACTTTTATTTTGTAATAATTAGCAGCTGTAATTCAAACAGAACTAAAAAAAACTTTGGCCTGGTTAACGTGAACTGATTTTCCCCATCCAACAATCTTAAGGAGGCCCCCAATTACCATAACAGCTCTAAAGATAATCTTATCAGATATCCCTGCCATGTGTGGTGTGTTAAGAGTGCTCTGGTCTGCTCTGAAGCACATCTGAGTCACTCTGATCCTAAATCTGGGACATTCAGCATTTTGGATTGTCTCGATCTGTTTGAACGACAAACTAGCACGCTGCCTGTTGAATGTGTCGCTTAGCCAATCAGAAAGTGATGCGATGAAAACACGCTGCAAGCCCCTCCTCCGCCATGTTAGCTTACTTTAAAGTCGCTTTTGACCTTGTGAGCTTTTGCGTGCCTTCCCATTTGACGGGTGAAAGTTCGTGTATGAAATCAGTTTGTTTGTTTTTTGCCGTGCTGCTGAAACCAAGCTCGGCTATATCTGCGACTTTTCATCACCACGTTTAGAAAATCCTCTGACAATTTTAAATCCTACCGTGTGAACCGGGTCTAGGAGGGACAGAAGCTTGGCGGTGCCGACCACTGATGGAGGACCAGGTGATTTCAGACGAACCGATGGAAACTCAAAAACTGAACCTTCACCTTTTTAAACACAGTTTTGAGTTTCTCTGTAAATGACGTAAATCTGTGAAAAATTAATGATCCAGAATGAATTTCTCTTCACCCAGCCCCATCCCAACCCTCAACTGGATGATTTATTGGATTTTTCATGTATAAACATTGGTTTTGTGCTGCTGACAGCGTTAATGTGGAAAATCCGTTTAGTTTTTTTAGACTGAAGGAAAAAAACCAGAAGATTCAAGCTGTGAGCTGCTGTGAGGAGAGCACATTAGCACGTTTCTGACAGCTCTCCACAACCAGATTAGCATCTGAATCATAGATGATCGCCGTTAGCTTACTCCTGATTCATCCTCAGGAGCTCCTTCAGATGGACGATTGTTGTTTAGAGCAGAGCAGAACCGCTGTAACCAGGCACTTTAACTGGATTTCCTTTATTTATAATGAAAATGGAGCTGAAATCATCAAGATAGTGGCGTTAACTTTGATAATTTTCTCCTGAAAACAGGAAAAATGGGGTTTATTCCTCTGTGATAACACATTAAATAAATCAACCTTAATGATTTTCGTTTAACCAAGAACAAAAAACACTTTGTATTAATTCACATCTTAAATAAGGTCCTTCTAAATGCACATTTTTACTGAAGGAGCCATTTCTAAAGCAGAAACTAAACAGGAGGAGGTGGTAAATGACATTCCGTCTCTGACGTGACGTTTCCCTCAGAAACCGTTGAATTCATTATCTCATCTGAACGGAAGGAGGATGAACTGAGCAAACATCAGGAGCACTGAGGCTGTGAGGTGAGCCGAGTCACTCCGACTCGTCTGCTTGTGAGTGAGTCACCTCCATCCGGGCTGCAGCGGGTTTAGAGCAGCAGAGTTGATGCTGTTGGGGGGTTTAACGACGTGACCTGACTTGAACATCCCAAAATGAGGTTCCTGACCTCAAAATGCAACCTGACTAAATAAACTTTATATTAAGGTGAATTTAATCTGTGGGATTATTGTTGTTACTGGTTTGTTGACCATACTGGGATCCAGTTAGGAGGGGTCTGATGTTGTTTCAGATCAGAATACCAATTTTTGATGTCAACAAACTCAAATTCTCTGTCGTTTTTGCTTAAAAACAACTTGACAAATACAGAAACAGATTTCCTTGTTTAAGGAAAGCTAGATGGATGCACTTATTCCCAGATTATGTTGGTTTTGGAACAGCAGCAGCTAGAGAATCAAACTTCTGACCCTCTTTCTTTCCACCGAGTTCGACTCAGGGTTCATCTGATTTAAAATCTTGATCTCATTTTCTACAAATGTCAGGACCTGAGATACGGACACGCAAATGTAAATGGAAGTGAAACTTTGACGGCTGAAGCCAAGTGAGCCGGACCAAGCAGGTGTATAAATGCAGGTGAGCTGTTGGTTGATGAGCAGAATGAAGTTCAGGTGTGAGCGCAGCAGGCCGCAACGAGCAATAAGGGAAAAAACGACCTTCCTCACAGAGAAACAAGAAACAATCAAAAATTCTGTGATTATGAAAATGAATAATCAAGAAATCACACTATAAAAAACATAAATAAAAGGTTGTTATCGAAACGCGGCTGATTAGAAAATTACAAAGTAAATGAATCGGTGAGGCTGGAATAAAAAATATAAAATCATCTGTAATAAAATTGTCAGAAAAGATTACACTGATGTGTTTTTATGTTAAAATATTTACTGGAACAGCCTGTGAGTGATGCAATATATTATTATATTATTATTCTTCATTTTAAACGTGTCAGTTTGCATTTTCTTTTAACATCTTAGAAATAAATAAATAAAAAGTTTGATCAAATCCTACTTTTCACCTCGATGCTGCAATTCAGATATTTTATTTTACTATATTGTATTATATTATATTATATTATATTATATTATATTTCGTCTCGTCTCGTCTTCCTCCGCTTATCCGGGTCCGGGTCGCGGGGGCAGCATCCCAACTAGGGAGCTCCAGGCCGTCCTCTCCCCGGCCTTGTCCACCAGCTCCTCCGGCAGGACCCCAAGGCGTTCCCGGACCAGATTGGAAATGTAACCTCTCCAACGTGTCCTGGGTCGACCCGTGGGCCTTCTGCCGGCAGGACATGCCCGAAACACCTCCCCGGGGAGGCGTCCAGGAGGCATCCTGACCAGATGCCCAAACCACCTCAACTGGCTCCTTTCGATCCGGAGGAGCAGCGGTTCTACTCCGAGTCCCTCCCGAATGTCCGAGCTCCTC